GGTCTTGGTATGAAAGATTAAGCAGTTTTCTAATTTCAAATGACTTTTCTAGAGGAAAAATTGATTCCACCCTGTTTATTAAGAAGGTAAGGGAACATATTCTGTTAGTTCAAGTATATGTTGATGATATTATTTTTGGATCAACTGATAATTCCTTATGTGAAGGATTTGCTAAGATTATGCAGGGTGAATTTGAAATGTCAATGATGGGAGAATTAACATTCTTTCTTGGATTTCAAATTAAACAACTTAAAGATGACATTTTTGTGTCTCAAACCAAATACTGCAAAGAGACTCTCAAGAAATTTGGAATGGACACTTCAAAGGAAGCTAACACACCCATGGGAACATCATGTTATTTAGACAAGGATGAATCAGATTTGGAAATTAATCAATCTATGTATAGAGGTATGATAGGTTCACTATTATACTTAACCACAAGTAGACCTGATATTATGCATTCTATTTGTGTGTGTGCTAGATTTCAAGCATGTCCAAAAGAATCTCATTTAACTGCAGTAAAATGAATCTTAAAATATTTAAAAGCAACTACAGGATTTGGATTATGGTATCCATTTGAAGCTTCTCATAGTTTAATAGGATATTCTGATGCTGATGCTGATTATGGTGGATGTAAGATTGATAGAAAGAGTACTAGTGGAACATGTCATATGTTGGGATCATCTTTAGTATCTTGGCATTCTAAGAAACAGACATGTGTTGCTTTGTCCACAACTGAAGCTGAATACATTGTAGTTGGTAATTGCTGTGCACAAATCTTATGGATGAAGCAACAACTAGAAGATTATAATATTTTTCTAGATGATATTCCTTTGATGTGTGATAATACAAGTGCAATCAATCTTACTAAGAATCCAATAATGCACTCTAGAACTAAGCATATAGAGATTAAACATCATTTCTTAAGAGATCATGTTAGTAAGGGAAATTGTAAAATTGAATATGTTGATACAAAACATTAGTTAGCGGATATATTTACCAAACCTCTTCCAAAGGATAGATTCTATGAACTTAGAAGATATTTAGGAATATTAGAAATAGCTTAAACTCTGCTTAACTGATCAATCTTTGCTTTTTGTACTATAATAATTGATTATATAGGGAATTAATCGATTATCCTGTGTTTATAACATTGAAAATTTGTTAATCTCTCTAAAATAATTGATTATCTTGGATAATAATTGATTGCTGAAGTTTAAACAAGTGAAATATGTGAAATCTTTCTGTAATAATCGATTATTTGGGGTAATAATCGATTATCTGGCTAAATATTGCCTAAAACCAGTATTTTGCCACTAGAATAATCGATTATCTCTGCACTTGAAGAAATAATTGATTATCAGAGGCTGATAATCGATTATCCTGCGATGTTGTAGGTTCACTAGCTGTTTATAACGGCTATTTTGGCTCTAATTCTCCTCCAACTAGCCGTTTATGATCGTTAGGATGTTTCTCTATATATAGGAAGGCTCCAATTCACATCTACACACCTCCAAACCTTGAATCAAAGCATTCTACAATCATTCAAGCTCTCTTGTCTCCTCAAAACCTTATTCTTCTCAAAAACTTGGTCATCTTCCTCTTTTTCTAATCTAAATGGCTTCATCATCTCGTAATAAGATCTCAACAAGGAGAAGATTCGCTCCTGCTTTTCATCCCCGTCCCAATTCAATTGAAGGGTGGATCTCCGACGATGAAGGAAGACAGGAATTCCTAACTTTCTGGAAAGAAAGGGGCATTATCACTCCCAAATATATTATTGGTGATCAATTCATCAATAGGGGTTTCAAATTCCCAAATCTCCTTGAGCAACAAGGTGTCCTTCCATTCATAGAAATGCAAGGTACTTACTACCCAAATTTAGTTAGGGTCTTCTATTCACTCTTTAAATATAGAGATCATATCGCCACTTCTAGAGTCAAGGGTGTGACCATCATCCTTGATGATGATATCTGGGAAAATGTTGCTCATTTTCCTTTAAGGGAGGATGCTACCAATGTTCATACGGATTTAGAAGATTTTAATAGAATTATGGCTTATCGCTCCTTTCTTTGAAACCCCTCTATGGAAATTGGCCGCCAACTTTTGACCGGGCATTTAAAGAAAGAAGAACGCCTTTTGCTGTATCTTTTTGTCTGGATTTTATGTCCTCGGGCAACCAACCATGCCCAATGTTCTTCTGCTGACCTTCACATTATTCATGTCATCATGAATAATGAGTTCATTGATTGGCCAAGCCTAATTACTTTAACAATGCTCAAGGCGAAGCGTCACCCAACATTCAAGATTCCATACGCTCTCCTAATATATAGAATTCTTGAATACAAGGGCGCAAATGTTGAAGGAGAACAAGGACCCTAAATTCAAACAGAATGCTAGACGGCATGCCCACTCAGCTGCAGATGGTGAACGTAAACGGAATTTACGTTCATAAAGATGATGCTCCTCACATGGCCAACATGGTTCAAGATTCTGATGATGAGGACATGCCTGCTACTGAAATGCCTGCTGAAAACATTCATACTGCTGGGACATCATCTGCTCATCCTACATCCCGTCCGTCTATGGAAGATATGATGTTTGATATGAATCAAAGAATGCAAGAGTTTTTCACTATCTCTCAAGAACGACATCAGGAAATTATTCGACGTATTTCAGATGTAGATGATAGGGTCTGTAATTTAGAGGACAGATTTGATGCCCAAATTAACAGTGATGAAAGTGAAGAGTGTTAATCTCTTCAACATATTTCTTGTTTGTAATGAATTTAATTTATGGAATAAAATGTTTATTTTTGTTTTGATTGAGGGGGAGCTATCTTCTATATTATGCACTTATTGAGGGGGAGATTTCATTTTTTATCATAATCAAAATAGGGGGAGGAATTATTTAAAGCCTCTTATGTTTATTAATTTTAAATGTTGTTTGGTATGTTTAATGTTTTTATTATCTGTGACAGATAAAACAGGTTATTACAAATGGCTTTAAAGGAAATTTTGATCATTATAAAAAAGGGGGAGATTGTTGAACATACAAGGATATGAATGTTGAATATACAAGGATATGAAGCTTGTAGATTTTGATAATGATTCAAGAATAAAGGACTTAGAGATTTGAAGACTTGTAATCTTATGTAATAACTCTGTTTTTATGTTTTTGAGTCTGTAATATTAGAGTCCAAGATAGTCAGCACATAGAACATCCTTTAAAAGCTCTAAAAACTCATTTTTATCAAAATTACACTGTGATAATCGATTATCAACCTGGATAATCGATTATTACAGCAATAACACCATTTTCAGGAAATCCTCTCTATGATAATCGATTATCACAGGCTGATAATCGATTATTTGGCCAGATAATCGATTATCCTAGCCCAGTTTTGTTCCCCTACGAATATGGCTCTGGAATAATTGATTATCACTCAAGATAATCGATTATTTGCGTCTGTTATGTGTTTTGAAATTCAAAATTGGACCAAGTTTCGAAAATCCCATTCCCAATTCATCTATTTTCAAAAATCCCCAATTCCCAGACCCTATTATCTCTACTTAAGGTTATCTAAGGCTCTCTGCAAATTGAACAAACATTTTTCATACAAAAGTTAAGAGTTGTGACTGCTAGAGAACTTCTGTAGGGAAGAAAAATGGGCTTTTGAAAACCTAGTGTGGGCTAGAAGCGATAAGAATCACTGAGTGGGTTTCTTGGTGGATTATGTGTTGTGCCGTCTCTAGGAAATTTTTTTCTTCATCCTTTGTGGATTCAAAGGAGGTGTTCATCTCTTGTGTGACTCAAGAGAGGTGTTTTCTTTACCTTATCTTTTCAATTTGTAATCTGTTTGTAAACTATGATTATAGTGATAGCGTTAATCCTCTGTTTGAGTGATTAGCAACTGGACGTAGGGTCTTTTGATCCGAACCATTATAAATCAATTGTGTTTTCTATCCCTTATCTATTTACTTTACACAACATTTTAATCGGTGAAATTTGGGAAAAAATTTAAAACCTTAATTTTTGTTTAAGAAACCAATTCACCCCCCCTCTTGGTTTTTGTCCGTAAACGCAAACATTCCGCTGCGCGATTCTAACACGCAATCCTGCCGGAAGCGCTTAAAGAAGCTTTTGTTCATGGGCATCTCAGCTGCCATGATATCTAGCAAAAAAAAAAGAAACTCAACAACGTTAAAACACATGCTAATAAACTAGGAATAGGAAAGATAACACACCATTAAGGTCAGAGTGACGATGGGGGAAAGGTAGGTTCCATGAAGCTTACGGGTGGGCAACTTTTGTGGTAACGTATCTAAATACTCTAACATCCGCACATCCTTTACCGACATCTATAGTCATGACCAACCCTGATATCATAAAGGATCTCGAGTCCAGTAGAGTGGAAAATTAGGCTTACCCTCATCAAATAAAATGGGAAAGCCTATCGACTATATTACCACCTTAAAAAAAACGCTTTAAAGTTTTTGTAGGATGATGTGTATGGAGCAAACAATGTAGAGGCCGAATGGTCTCTCAAGATTAGCTAGCTGACCAAGTCACCAAGCCGAGTGCTAAAGTAGTGAAGGAACACTTGAGGAGTCGGCGTGAAGTGCAACCATCGGAAAAGTAGCCAGAACGGTTGTAGTGCTGGCCAATGTCTGGGTAAAGTTGGGTAGGGGCAACATTTAAAATGTGTAACACGCCCATAATAAACTCGTCAAAAGGACGGTGTATGTGTATGTTAAAGAATAAACACGAGTACATAAAGAAGTATCCCTTTGTCCTTTCCCGCCCATGACAAACGTTGTCGATAGATCAACAATGGTGTAAGGTTACAATATCTTCTAACAACTCTCTAACAAATCTTGGGATTCCATGTAAGATGATACTTGGAAAAATAATCCCAAACATGGTGGTCGACCCACTTGTAGCAACTCATCCTCCATTCTCTCCATGTTCGTACCATCGTCATCCTCCTTGTGACCCTCTCACCTTGGTGATGGTGCTAGTCGCGCACTAGTTGATGCAGGAAGACCACCCATAGATGACTCTCTCTCCTTGCTAATATCCATCACATTATGACCCAACGGGGTACTCGCGGCCAACCTCGCCAACTCCGCTTGTCCACTTGATAACCTCTCATAATTAGTAGAAGATGTAGAGTAAGAAGACATGATTACCTTTGTTGTAGGGAGAAGTTGTTGTAGCTTGTCAGAATGCGTGAGCTCCAAAGATAAATTGGCTAATAATGCATACATTAATCCCCTTTTTATAAGCCAAGGGTGCGAATGCAAAAATTGAAGCATCGCACGCATCAAATGCTGATAATTAATAATGACAAGATAACGTCCACAATACGTAACCCACTCACATTTTCCCGCTTAAAAGGATACCTCAACTTTTGAAAAACTAAGTTATTCCCCGTTACAATCTCATTGAAGCAATCGTACCCACTAAAGCAAAAAGAAATTAGACTTCTCTTTCTTCCTTTTATCAACGACTCTCCCCACTTGTTGTAGCTCGAACCTAGATCGCAAATGTACTGATAAGCTACTAGAAAGTGATTAAGCCTTTCCATTTATGACAGCTTACTGGTTCAATAAGGATTAGAGCGTAGAGCATCAAACACAAGGCCTAGACAAAGTACTGTTCATAACACACCTTAGTTGCATATTGTCATTATTTTACTAACTTGAGTGTCAAAGTATCTTTTGGAGGCACCCCATCATCTCCCCTTATCAAATTGACCTACAAGTCCTCGACTTAAGGAAGGAGCGTTGTGAAGAGATTCAAAAGAGAAGAATTGTGTGAGTTTCATCGGCTAAATAAGGTTAATCACTATTTTTCTCATTCATCCATTGTTAGTTTTCCAAAAGTTTTATCATCCATCCAATAATTAAGAATCCTAAAAGGTTTAGGCCCCAATCTATCTTCATTCTTTGCAAAATCAAAGGGTAATGATTAGAAAGATTCCCTTCCATCACATGTTTTATACTTCCTTGCCTACTTTCCATCCATTCTTCATATACTAGGACTTTATCAATGTGGCTTCTAGCCTTTCCACTTGGTCTAAACCATGTGAATTTCTTTCCCATCATAGGAATATGCATTACCCCATCTCCTCTATGAACTTGTTGAATTCACTCCTTAGAGAATGATGTTGTTCATTCTATTATCTCCTTTCCTTTCATATCTACACCTTACACAGTTAAAATCTCCCATAAAACACCATCTCTCTATGCTAGATATTGTTTTTCTACGTTTCAATTCCCCTCCCCCCCACATAATTCTTTCCTTCTCATTATCTAATGATATATATATATATATATATATATATATATATATATATATATATATATTAACTATTTCTATGTTTCCTTCTTTCCATATTTCCTCCATGCCCAAATATCCTTCACCCAAAAAAGAGTTTTGCATTTCAAAAGCTTCAATACTCCACATACATAGTAACTCTCCTAAGAGGTTCTCTATTAGCTTCAGAAATCATTTTACTTGATTATTGCCCCATGTTGTATAACATATTATCTTTAGATTCTTGTATATATACCATTTTTGTCTCTTCTTTCAAGATTCACTTCCTCACACTCTTCCACTTCACACCCCATCCTCTTAATATTATAGGAAAGTATCTTCATTTTGAAAAATCATTATTTGATAGCCCATTTCACATGAACATCTTATAGACAACTTTGAAGTGGGAGAGGAAGAGAGAAAAAAGTGAAAATGTAGATAATAAAAATGGTTGTTGAATGAATGGATTTGGATAATGGATTATTTATATATAATTACTAATTCATTTTATGCCAAACTTATCCCCTTCCATAACATTTTTCTCTCTTCTCGGCTTCCTCCTTATCTCTTCTCCAATTCATTTAGACTAAGGAGAATATGTGTTTTATCACCTTCAAAAGATGCCCCCAATTTCTCCCAGATTGAACATAGTTGGTTCATCTTGTTAAATTCCTCATTTTCCATAATTGATTGTTATAGTTCACAATATAGAAATTAGATAGAGTGTTACACATGTTTTATGTTTCTAATCTAATGATTTTTCTCTTATTTCTCTCAATATTTAGATTTGAGATAATAATAGTTTCAGGACAATGGTGAGACTGGGATTAAGAATCAGATAGAATATTATACCTTCCATGTATAGATCCTTTTAATGCCCCTTGTGAACATAGTTCCTTTTTTGTGCATCCTTCTGTGCACTATTTCGATTCCATATTCTTTTTTCATATCCTCTCACTGGAATCATTACAAATCACCTTTTATGTTGTTCGTGCCTTTGGTAGGAAAATAAGGAACTCATTTTCTCTTCTCAAATTACTATCTTCGTATCATTGCACCTACCCAGTGACGGAGCTTCTTGTGAGTGAGGGGTCATGCTTCCCTAAAATTTTGTAACTTAAATTAATATTTATGATTTTGATCTCCCTAAAGTTAATGATTATTAAATATATATATTTACAAATTTCAATTCTTACCATTTCATATTTTTTCACATTTTTTATTTATTTATTGTTTATTAATAATATATTGTTTGATCCCCTCAAATTCAATGATAAACATGAATCAATAGTCAAGATCCACCACTTATCATTCTTCCTTACTTTTTTTTTCTTTTTTTTTTTTTTACTTCTTCTAACAGGCCTTGTGTGATGTATGATTGTTTTGTTTTCCTCTGTTGGGCATTATATTGTTTCCTCTTCCTTAAAAATTTTGTTGTCTTATAAGACTTCCTCGTCAGATTCTAATATGACCCCTTCACTATCCTCCTCCGACTGTCACCCATTGAAGACATCATGTACCTCCATTCATTGTACCGACATATCCTTCTTGGAGCATTTTCTTCTTCAGCCATTCTAACTTCATAGACTAACCCATTTATCATAATATTTGAGTAATAGGAAATGACTTTGTGTTGACTCACAAAACTTCTTGTCACACTCACAATTTGCTTGAAGCATTCTTGATTGCAAAGACCATTCAGTATTCCAGAACATGTGATTCAAGCTAACCTATTTTCAGATACAACCATTAGACCCCATCTTTCTATTGAATTGAAGAGATAAACAAAATCTCCACCGTCGTCCATCATCACCTTCAGCTCTTCCTCATTAGTTCAAAAAATTAATATCTTTTCCCCATTTTACCATGGGCCATACCAGCTTGTACATAGTTAAATCAAATCCTTTACTTGCCTAGTCCAGCAATTTGTTAGTTATTCATTGTATTCTACCTTTACCTTTATCTCACGTCCCTTCCACTTCTTATCATACCTTGTCTTTTCTAGACTCGATGCTCATACTCTCGAAGTAACACACTTTTCGTTTCTGCTATTTTGTATTTACTTTTTGAATGAATTGCTTCTGACCTTGTTGTCATTCCTCTATTAGCTTCTTCCTTTCCACATCTGCATTATTTGTAGGTCTTGTTACTTTTTAAATCTTGCTACACTTACTTTCAACTTTAGGTTCCATTTTCTAATAGAGTCAACTTTCTTTTCATCTCGTTCACATCTTTTACTCCCATGAATTGTACAAATTTGAATCTATTTCCCCATCTTTGAAAGATTTTCCACATATTGTATTCATTAAAAGTATTTGGAATCTTGGAGAACAAGAATGTTGTAATATTTCTCTTATTTTCTCCATTTCCCGTTTTCCCTTCGTCTTCTCATCCCTCTCATACGACCCTTTTTGTTAAGTAAAAAATTGATCTTTAAGAACATTTATCATTCAATGCATGGGTTTAAAGTTTTACTATTAATATTAATATTAAAATAATTCCAACATGAAAAACACATATTTTTTAACTTCATTTTAAAAAATAAAATTGCTGCCGCGCAAATTGTTTTTGAAGTTATTAACAAAACCGTTTAAACAAAATATTTGTTAGAATGACAAGTATTTTAAAAATAATGAAAAAGTATCTCTTTATGGTTGATAAAAGTAGTTAAGAATTCAAAATTAACTTTTTCTTTTCTCTCCGATGAGAATTCAAAATATTGTAAGGATTTTTTATTATAAATCTAAGATATATTATATACTCAAAAATATTTATTTATTCTTAATTTTAGTTATATACAATAAACAATTATTTATGTATTGTATAAACAGTATTTTTCGAATAAGGATTATCAATTGTTAAAAAAACACTAAAAATAAGGATTAAATTGCCAATTAAATATTAAAACTACAACTAAATATCAATATGTAAGATTTGACGAAATATATAACTTTTAGACTTCAATTCTTTAAGTTTAGATTAAGCATTTTGATAAAAAAAGGTTCGGTTGAAAATATAAATTCTATAAAAAAAATGACAAATCAAGCTCTCTCGCGAAAACTAATTGTTAATAAAGTTAATAAATAATCAATAATGAATATATAATGTAGAAGGAAAAATTAATTAGGGAACATTTTAAATATAAACATATCTTTAGAGTATCGAGTGAGAAATTTAAAAAATAATTAAATTAAATATTTATAATATATTTAATATTTATTAACTAATTAATTAGTATAATTTATTTATTTATACTAAATAGTTTTATAGCATATTTTGAATCTTTGTTACTAACATAGTTGTCTTATCCAAAATTTATTTTACACTCATTTAAAATACTTTTGTTGATAATTATTTGTTCACGTGAATTGTTCCACTAATGATATTTAATTTTTGTTTTTGTTGTGTTGTGATGGTAACTAATGATTTTACTACGATCTATTGAGTAAAATAAAAAATAGTAACAATCAAGAATTTGACATGTCAAGGAATGCAAATTGAACCCTCATTTGACGAGCGACTTGGTGACATCATACTATGTAGCTCATCGATGGTTGTTATATGAATTGATTGAACTTTTGATAGATCTAAACTTCTTTACAAATTCTTTTGCATCACTTTTTAAAGTTAGCCAATAATATTTACCTTAGAGAATTTGATTTGTCATACTTCTTGACCCTAAGTGTACTTCACTTATGTTATTATGCAACTTGTTCATTACATATTTGACTTTATCTTGTCTAACTTTGAAAACTCCCTTTTAAACAACTCTCCATTGTCAAAGATATAAAAAAATAAAATAAACATCATTCTTCTCATCCTTCTAACTTCATTTGGGTTTTTTTGAGGTACCTTCTTAATAAAGTATTATACAATGTGTGTCATCTACATTGATTTTGCAAACTCAATATACAAATGGTCATTATGACCTAACTCTAGGAACTTAAGGTTTCTTTAATCAACATTTTGTAATGTCTTGGCTTCTTTGTGCTAGGAAGCTTTCACAAAATATCTTTCCAACTATTCTACTTTACGGGTATGTGTTCCATCACGAATGAAGTTTAACTTATTACTAGATTTATTGTCATTGTCGGGATTCAAACCGGTACCTTAGAGTTAGAAGTCTGGAACTCCAACCATTGAGCCACTAGGATTTTTTAATAATAACTTACAAATAAATTATATTTATATACAAATAAATATATATCCAGTATAAATATATAAATATAAAATCTATAAATAAAAATATATTTATATATTTTAATATATATTTAAATATTGATATATTTATACATTGATATATTTAAATATTGATATATTTATATATTGATATATTTATATATTGATATATTGATATATTTATATATTTATATATTTATATCTTTATGTTTTTACATATATTTATATCTTTCCATATTTATATATAAAGATATTAGTTTTGTATACAAATAATATTATAATATAGTATATTATACTTGTTAGTATAGTATACAAATTATATATTAGTATAGTATAGTATACAAATTATTAATTTTGTAATTTATATACAATGAAAATAATATAATGGTATATTAGTATAGTATATTTGTATTCTAATTTTTAATTAAATTAAAATTATGCTAATAATGTATAATAATATATGAGGGGATAATAAATTTAATCCAATTACTTTTATAAATATATAAATATATAATCTATAAAATATTAAAAATGATATTATATTTTTAAAAACAAATATTAGAAAAAGGATTAAAACATATATAAATTATATTTATATGTCCAAAATATTAAAGATATCCACATTTAAAAAAATACAAAAAGAAAATTAAAAATTATACTTTAAATTGATGAAAATATTTTAAAAAAGTTATATTTATTAAAGTATTAAAAAATATTCTATAATATATAAGTTGAAAAAATTATCATTAAAATTTTTTAAAAATTATTAGTTTTTTAATTTATACACAATAAAAATAAATTACAAATATTATAATATAATGATATATTAATATAATATAATATATTTGTATTCTAATTTTTAATTAAACTAAAATTATGCTAATAATGTATAATAATATATGAGGGGATAATATTGATATATATATATATATATATATTTATATATTTATATATTTATATATTAATATATTTTTATTTTGATATATTTATATATTTATACATTGATATATTTATATATTTGTTTATATCCTTATACATTTATATCTTTATATATTTATATATTAAAAAAAGAAAAATTTAAATATTAAATTTTAAAAATAATATTATATTTTTAAAAATAAATATTAGAAAAAGATTTAAAAATATATATAAATTATATTTACATATAAAAAATATTAAAGATATATATTTATATCTTTACATATTTATATATTTATATCTTTATATTTTATATCTTTATATCTTTACATATATTTATATCTTTATATCTTTACATATATTTATATATTTATATCTTTATATATATATATATATATATATATATATCTTTATATATTTATAAAATCTATAAATACAAATATATTTATATATTTTAATATATATTTAAATATTGATATATTGATATATTAATATATTAATATATTTACATATTTATATATTAATATATTTATATATTTATTTATATTTTTATATATTTATATCTTTATATATTTAAGGAAAAATAAAAAATTTAAATATTAAATTTTAAAATAATATTTTATTTTTAAAAACAAATATTAGAAAAAGGTTTAAAAATATATATAAATTATATTTACATGTACAAAATATTAAAGATATATGTTTATATCTTTACATATTTATATATTTATATCTTTATATATTTATATCTTTATATTTTTACATATATTTATATCTTTATATTTTTACATATATTTATATCTTTCCATATTTATATATTTATATATAAATATATAAAGATATTAGTTTTGTATACAAATAATATTATAATATAGCATATTATACTATTAGTATAGTATACAAATAATATATTAGTATAGTATAGTATACAAATTATTAATTTTGTAATTTATATACAATGAAAATAATATAATGATATATTAGTATAGTATAGTATATTTGTATTCTAATTTTTAATTAAACTAAAATTACGCTAATAATTTATAATAATATATGAGGGGATAATAAATTTAATCCAATTACTTTTATAAATATATAAGTATAAAATCTATAAAATATTAAATATGATATTATATTTTTAAAAACAAATATTAGAAAAAGCTTTTAAAACATGTATAAATTATATTTATATGTCCAAAATATTAAAGATATCCACATTTAAAACAATACTAAAAAATATTAAAAGTTATACTTTAAATTAATGAAAATATTTTAAAAAAGTTATATTTATTAAAGTATTAAAAAATATTTTTTAATATATAAGTTAAAAAAATGATCATTAAAATTTTTAAAAATTATTAGTTTTGTAATTTATATACAATGAAAATAATATAATGGTATATTAGTATAGTATAGTATATTTGTATTCTAATTTTTAATTAAACTAAAATTATGCTAATAATGTATAATAATATA